TAAACTGTTGTCAGTCATGTTGTCATTTAAAATCCGGACATCATTGGTAATGTTATTGTTTTAGTGATTATGCAAACAAAAAAGTCATTTTATTTGTTGTTTGTTGATTTTAAATATAAAACTTGGTGAAGTGATTTATGTGTCGGTACTTTTTCAACATCTCCAGCACATTTGAACAATACCGTGATAATACTGATAACCGTGATAATTTTGGTCACTATAATCGTGATAAGACATTTTCATACCATTACATCCCTAAAAGAAAGAAACAAATGATCAAAAATTCCCTTCTGTAGTGCAGAAGAACACTTGTTGCCACTGAATATCACCAAATGTGTGTCACTGATGCAGTCCATGCATGTCTATGATGTGACCAACTTCAACTAATGAGAGCACATGAAACCATTCCAGTTATATTTACCCTTATAAAATTTGCCATAGTATCCGTGATACTATAAACGTAGGCCTTTTGTTCCATCAATAATTGTAAGCAGCTTTCAGAATGTTTTTTGTTTATATTTTATTTTTAATTAACATATATTTATATATTTACTTAATTTTTTTGTTTGTTTTGTTTTTTACGTCTGAGGTGGCTAAAACCTAACCACCACTGAATAACAAAGTAAATATATAAGGCAATATATTGTCAAAAATATTATTTACTGTGACCGAATTTTTACAGTGCAACAATAAATCCATACAAGCAGCCTACCATTTTTTGGTGGTTACCATGGTGACTTTTATGATGGTCAAGCCGTCCCTTACCAGTTTTAATCAAGTAATTCATACTGTAAATCTTCAGACATGCATTTAACAGAACAGAGCGCTATCATTGCGGGTAAAGTTGTGCTAACTCGTCAGATTAACAAAAGATAATTATGAATCAAGATACAATATAGTCTATCCATTATTTAATTCAGTCAACTTACTGGGTGATGCTGAGTGCCTTCACCTTCGCACGTCAGATGAACAGATGATGTTTGCGATGTATTTCCTCAAGTTTAAATCAGATGCACTTTCATGAAGATGTGCTTTAATATGAGCAGAACCGCAGAGGAACTGAAGCGAGATGAACTGAGATGAACAGTAAATATCGAGGCGATGTCAGTCAGTATGCAGATTGTCAGAAGTCGCCAAAGTTATTTCTGCTGATGGTCATATATCATCTGCTCGAGCTGTTAGTTTGGACATCCATAGAGAACTTCCATCCCATCAGCTCTTTTCCCCGCACCTGCAGGAGAACTGGACTGCTCTGCTGCGCTCCCTCAGGAAAGTGAAGCGCCTCACGCGTGATTCATGAATCAGATGATAGATGGAGAGTTCAGTCTCACCACACATGCGGTTACAGAGCCTTGTTCAGATCGGCACACACTACCATATTACTCCTAATAGGAATGCAGTTTACAGTATTGGTGTCCGATTCGCAAACGAATGAGCTTTTGAACCGTTTTTTCAGTGATTTGGTCGAACCGATTCGCACAGCATTTGTGAATGACTCGACAGTTGAGTAACACTATAAGACGCTGGATTCGTTAAGACAATAACGTAATCGGAAACAAAGTGATTAACAGTTGTGTTTGATTAAAACTTGTACTGCAATATGACACGTTGAATTACTTCTAGCAACTCTTCGTCAAACGATTCAGTGAATCGGCTCATTTAAACAGACCGCCCGAACGAACCGATTCATTAGCCCTCGGTGCTCGTGCTTGAGTGTGGATTGTGTTGCGTTCGTTCTTCAGCCCTGAGCCACTGAGTCCGTTTAACTTTTCTTTTCTTTTTTTTTTAAAGCTGAATTATTTTTATACACACAACAATTAGTCCCGGTCCTTATATCTGTTCTGAACATGCTGAAATAAGATATTGTATCTTATATTTATAGAATCAGTGTTAACAGAAATAATGTTGCAGCACTTTCTGATAGCATGCGTGTCACTGTTGGCGCCTCCCTGTGGTGATATGAATAAAATGTTGTTATATTAGGATCAGTCATTTAAATGTAAAAAAAAACAACACTGATATAGATATCTAATACATTAAGATTAATAATAAATTCTGAAGGTAATGGTTAAAGAAATAAGAAAAGAAACAACAACAACAACAACACAGATATTAAATTGCATTGAAAACATAGATAATAAATAACTATTTTATTTTATGATTATAATAATTTCATTTATAACAACACAGCAACATTCAGTTTTTATTGGTCATTACGTTTGGGTTGGCACATTCCTGTTCTTGTAAGACATGATGGCCAATCAAAAAGAAATAAAGAAATAACAATAAGACATAATGTTTTATTATATAATGTTATATAATATAATGTTAAACAAATTTGATGAACAAAAATTCATGTTCACAAAAACCAATTCATGCAAGCATAAAATAATACTTCCACAACATATGTTTCACAAATGCAAAACACTACTCTTCTTCTTCTTCTTCTTTTATACTATTACCTAAATATCAACATTTGTGAGATATAGTAAAACTAGTCATTCAAAACAGTTTTTACATGAATTGTCTCTAATTTTGTCTCTGGAAAATAGTGATTTGTGGCATTATATTATATTGAATATTTTTATTTATTTATTATTGGATAGATTTTTTGAGTTTTTTTTTTTTAATCAAATGTAAATTCCCGTCCCAATCACATTTTCTTCATTAAATACAAATTACTTACATTACCACAAAAAAAGAAAAAAATATATATTTTTACATTAACAATGTAATAAATATTCTGTTTATTTAAAGCCAAGTATGAATCTAATCAAGTTAGTGTTTTTAAGCATTTTATATGTATTCCAAAATAATAACTCAAGGCAGTAACAATTTAAACAATATATTTTATTTGTGAACTTATGTTTAGCTATTCTTTTTAAAAGTTAACTTTTAACTATTTTTGAATTATTCGGTTCATCAGTCATCAAAGCTCGGTGAATATTGGGCACAGACAGAAATTTACTTTAAATTTGAATAAGCTGATTGCTCACTAAAAACTCCCACAGATCATGTTTTCAGGCCATTTTAAGTCTTATTTTGACGTAACAAAGTGGATATTTCTAAGTATGTGAGTTGTTTACTTACTTTTTAAAATGAGTCTTCCCATTAATGCCATTTTGTTTATTCAGACTGATTCACGAAAGCGGAACACGCATGAACACAAGAGGCGGGATTTATCACATGAACCAATCACAGACGAACATAACCAGTCAGATCCAATCATATCGCGATGGAGGCATTGTTTCCCCTATTCATTCTCAATTACCCTCCCAACCAAACCCACTGCATGCTTTATGGGGTCTGTTAAAACTCAATGGGCTCAAGGGATGTATTCCAAAATAATAACTCAAGGCAGTAACAATTTAAACAATATATTTTATTTGTGAACTTATGTTTAGCTATTCTTTTTAAAAGTTAACTTTTAACTATTTTTGAATTATTCGGTTCATCAGTCATCAAAGCTCGGTGAATATTGGGCACAGACAGAAATTTACTTTAAATTTGAATAAGCTGATTGCTCACTAAAAACTCCCACAGATCATGTTTTCAGGCCATTTTAAGTCTTATTTTGACGTAACAAAGTGGATATTTCTAAGTATGTGAGTTGTTTACTTACTTTTTAAAATGAGTCTTCCCATTAATGCCATTTTGTTTATTCAGACTGATTCACGAAAGCGGAACACGCATGAACACAAGAGGCGGGATTTATCACATGAACCAATCACAGACGAACATAACCAGTCAGATCCAATCATATCGCGATGGAGGCATTGTTTCCCCTATTCATTCTCAATTACCCTCCCAACCAAACCCACTGCATGCTTTATGGGGTCTGTTAAAACTCAATGGGCTCAAGGGAGGCGAGAGAGATGCGGACTCCCGCTGTAACTTTACCTGCTGGTGTCGCTGTTGGACAGTGATTCAGCGTTGTTATAATATATATATATATATATATATAATGTATGGCCAAGACATATTAACTCGTGGGAATGTGATAAAATGTCATTGCCACGAGATCATTTTGTCGAGGTAAAGACATCCTTATGTCGTGACCATGCAATGTGAAGTTGTGGCTTCGAGATCCTGTGTTGAGGGAACGACATATTTTTCTCGTGGCCACAAGTTTAATGCGTTAACAAACCTGCGTGAGCTAGAGCACCCTCTACTAGGCAGACTTTTGCTCTAAAGTGGAGTCTGTTCGTTAAATGGTGTTCTTTTCATCAGGAGGACCCCCGAAGATGCCCGGTCAGCACTGTGCTTTCCTTCCTGCAAGATAAGTTGGAGCAGAAGCTGTCCCCCTTCACCTTGAAAGAGTATGTTGCTGCTATTCCGGCACATCATGATGCAGTGGACGGAAGATCTTTGGGAAAGCGTGACCAGATCATCAGGTTCCTGAGAGGTACGAGTAGAGTAAATGCCCCTAGGTCGCATCTCATGCCCTCTTGGGTTCCATCTGTGGTTCTTGCTGGTCCACGGAGAGCCTCCTTTGAGCTTAAGATCTTGTAGACTCCTGGTCGCGCTCACATCCATCAAGAGTGTGAGGCGAGCCGTGCCCCCTGAGGGTAAGAGCTCACTACACTCGGAGTATTGCCTCCTCTGTGGCGCTGGCACACGGTGCCTCTCTAGCAAGCATCTGCAGAGCTGCGGGTTGGGCGAGATTCTATAATCTCCAGGGTGGAACTGGTTTCCTCCTGTGTGTTGGGTATGACAAGGTAATTTGCTGGAGGACTGGCTCTGTGTCTCGCTTGTGGCATCATTCCTCTGGCTAGGATACATGCGCCTTATCTTCTTCCAGTTAGTTCCCCGTCTGGTGGACTCTGGTCGAGCTCCTCCAGAACCATGTGGCGTTCAGACTCAGTGGAAGAGTTAGTTGCCGGGTCCAGTACCTGTGTTGTAAGCAATTAGTCTCCCCCTGTACTGGACTAGGTGCTCATACATGAGATGGGTAATCCTGTATGTTCTCTCCACGGAACGGTTACCCTTGTGTTACGTCTATGACATGATGCGTTATATGTTGGTTCTGTTGTTGTTGTCTCCTTTTCCTCATTTAAGATTGGTCCTGGACATAATGCAAGGCTGTTGGTGGTTGGACCGGAGAAGAGACCCGGACTATAAATTTTCCAGTATTCCACTTGAGGGAGCTCTCTGCCTCTTTGATTGATTGCTCATGACTATTTGTTGTGATACTGTGTTAGCTGGTGAATATGTGGTGCGACAGATTGTGATTTCTGCTCCAACAGAGTGCTGTTAGCCACCCTTGATATTGTGTGAGCCTTACTTCTAGAACATCCATGTCCTGCTGACCATGTTGGTAACTTCTTAACTGTTTTGGGAAGTCGTAGGGGGTGAGTGCCTTGTTTTTGTTTTTTTGTATGCCACCAGGCCATTACTTTTCTCCTGTTTATTGGGCAGATAAGGAGATATAGGGTATATGGTTATATGTTTTCTTTCTTTTATTTTGATTCGTAGGGAAGGTAGTTCTTTTGTGGGGAAGTTCGTTTCTGTTTGTTTATTGTTTTGGCACAAGCTCACCCCCTGAAGATATTGCTTCTGAATTCTTTTGTTTCTTTCTTTTTCAAGAAATAGTTTTGTATACACCAAAAATACTAAGGCATTGAAAAACGAACAAGAGAACAAGAAAAGAAAACAAAAATGAGTAATTAAGAAGTATCATTGTTGTGTCATTTATGTTACACCCTGACCTAGACCAGGGATCGTAACGCTTGGTAAACCCGTGTCTTCCCTTGACAGTTTCACTGTCAGTCCTTGTTATGTTCCCTATGTCTCGTATTTTCACATTCCTGCATAGATGGGTCTCCGCACCCCAATGATTGCCGGAATAAATCCGAAAATGAAAATGTCGGAACACTTTTTTCGACTTCCACAGTAGATCGTTCATAGTGGACATGTTATCTGGTTTACGGGCGTTGGGCAGGTTATGGATTGAGGTGCATCTGTCCTGGCACGCTTGCTCGCCGGCACCTGTGCCATCAATTCTCGTAACACAGTTCTGGTCGTGGCACTTTCCATAGGGACCCCTAACATCAGTGTCGACGCAGGGGCGTAGTGTCTGGGTATGCACGTGCATATGGGCCCGGGCGGACTGGGGGCCCGCTATCACGGGCTTAAGCCCAAAGTATACTTCAGCCGTCCGCGCACCGTCCGTATTGCGTAATTTTCGTCATCAGGAGCATTCGCGGACATCCGCACACAGCCCAATTTCTGTGACC